CTGCGGCTTGATAGGGAGTTTGTAGAGCTTGACGAATCTGAGAGTGAAGGTCACTCAGTGTCATCAAGTTCAAAGAATGAGTCGATCAGCTCCAGCAGTAACCCTCTGGTTGTCTTGCTTACAGATTTGTTTGCTCCTTTGCCACTACAGCAACGGCGTAAGGTGCTGCAAATGATTGGTGAACGTTGGAATATTTCTATTCGTTCGAGTAAATCAAATTCGCCAAAGGAAGTGTGCGATGAAACAATTGCTCGTCTTGCTTCTAAATTGAATCGTGTGATGATGCGGAAGGCGGAAATGCTAAAGGGCGAGCATGATATCGGTGAGGGTACATTTATTGGCAGTATAGGTACCAATGGATCGCATCGACGTAGTGTGATATCTGTAACCTTTGATGAAACTGTTGATCTTTCTAGACGTAGGCGTTCACGCCTTCGATCCACAGCGGAGAGAAACTCTCTTTCTACATCAACTATTGAATCACGGCCCCCTCCAGGGTTTTTCTTCTCGTGAAGAGTGGTGTAGTTCACCGTATCTAAGTGCATATAATGTGTAAACAATGTATAGAATTAAGCTTAACTACCTGTTGTGGACGCTACAGTAGCTATGTGAAAGAGTTGAACGTCAGTCCTGGATCTCGGCAGGTGGGACTGTCGTTGCTCTCTGTGTGTTTTCTAGCTTCCCGTTTGTTTTCTCCCAGTGAAATCGGTTTTGGTTCCCACAATGCGCCCCCCACTGAGCGAAGTGCGTCTGTGGGACAATAAAAGTACCCTTTCTATACACCAGAATTGATTATCATGCTGTTTTCCTCATTTATTTCTATTGTTTGTCATCGATTTTCACGTCTAAACCTACACTTTGTTGCCTTTGTCTCCCCTGCTGTGGGTGTACGATGACAGGCACGGTGCACGCAATGACGCTTGTTGTCGCATGTGTCTGTTGCTGTTTCTTTGATGTATGGGTTTTATATTTTTCTTCTGTTTTTGTTCTTTACTTGGACATTGTCTGGTACACAATGTTCTTTTAATGTCTCTTTTAATGATTATTTTATTCTGTATTATGAACTATTGAGCGAACGACATGCTTTATAAGGTCATATGAAAGAAGACCGTTTACCCATGGATACAGTTTATCTCACGTATTTTCTTTTTTTTTTAATGTATTTGTGACGGTCCATAATGATTATGTGCTCACCAGCGATTTATCTATGAACAATTGATACTGTTGTGCATCTCCGATTATTGATCATGTGGTAAGACGAAATGCTGATGCTATGCGGGAACATTTATGGTGAATGGGTCTTAGTGATAGCATTCTGTAGAAACGTTAGCCATCAGAGGAATGCGGTATTTATTGCCTCCCATATGATAGTGAATTTTCTTTTTTTTTGTGTGTGTGCGTATTTTCCGACAGCTTCTGTAATGCGTGAAAGCGTGAACTTTTCCTCACTGATTGTGTCACAGCCCAACCAGGGTTTTTCTTCTCGTGAAGAGTGGTGTAGTTCACCGTATCTAAGTGCATATAATGTAAAAACAATGTATGGAATTAAGCTTAACTACCTGTTGTGGACGCTACAGTAGCTATGTGAAAGAGTTGAACGTCAGTCCTGGATCTCGGCAGGTGGGACTGTCGTT